AAAGATAGAAACGTTGGAACGACAAAGAAAATGTTTTTCTGAAACCTACATCACACCAGACTGCATCTCACGATTTCTGAATAATCGTTTAGTATTTCGTAGAATATTTTTTTATATATTTTCTTTCTTTTCCCTTAATGCCAGACACATATGCGGGCTTCGGCCCAAAAGTAATTGACCTTGCATGGCCTATCGGCTGAGGATGACCTCTTTACCTCTTAAGAAGAAATCTGTCACAATTTAAATATACGTTAAAAAATATATAACATATTTTTCCGAATTAGGCTATCAGGGAGTCAATTTGTTTATTGGTTTTGATTCAATACTCTTTTTTTTTCTTTTGTAAGTATGTCGAGTTCGAATGCAGGGCCGCTGGATTCGAACCAGGGATCGTTACCTTACAGTGATGCAATGAACGCCCTGTCAACGCTTAAATCGTTGCGGCCACCGACGCCCCCATAACAACTCAATGTTTAGTAGTTTTAGGGTTTCTATTTGTGGAGATAATTGTAAGAATTTAATGAAATGATGTGCAAAGTTTGAAAAAAAGATAGGTGGTTTAAATTATTTCTATTTACATAAAAAAATATGTATTTTTATATAGAGGACAAGAATTTGTAATCTTGCACGTTTAATATGATATTATATTTAGATTTGAGGTGATCTGGAAAGTGAAAATGTTATTAAATTTAAAACTGATGCAAGTTATTTAATGAAAGTGAAAGTTGTTCAACTTTCACACCATGTGACCATATTTACCCACACTAATAAAATAGTCAGTTTTGTTGTCACCTGAATTTCCACGGCCGGGCCTTGAGCCGTGTTTAAAAAATACACAGGAGGATACTTGCATGTGGCTCGCAAGTAGAAGGAAAAACTTCTTGCCACCACGCCTTGTGAATTCTAACTCATTCCCCTCCCACCTTCTCAAAGTATATAAATGTAAAACACAACTTGCTCCTCGCAACTTTTCTCTTATCCTGATCAAAATTCCACCTGGCCTTTTTATAAACTGCCACCGCCGCTATAGTTGCTATTTGCATCCGTTTCTTATCTGGTGTCCTCGCAAAGCTTTGTGCCTTCGGCGTTATTCGTATCTCGCACGAGGGCTTTTATTTAATACGAGCTTTTTACCCTTTTCCTCTCAGCTTAAATCTCAATTGAAGAGGAATTTTCACTGCCATAACGTAAAACAAATCTTGACCGTTTTACTAAGGCTGCATATTCGTTATAGTTTGTCACGTCGAAATGCCTTTAAACATGTTACATTTCTGTTTAACATATTGATTCTGATCCGCGTTATTGTACATTAATATTGAAAGGAGACCTAAAAGTGTGGGTTGATGTTCTTCACATTCGCAGATGGTATGGACGACTGTGCCTTCCTCCTCATTGAGTAATCTATAAATGGGATGATCATTGAATAAAGACATTTATGTAGAGATCCTCAGGTATCAGTGACCCGTTTATAGTGCTATCATTCCTCAAGTTTAGCCTTCTCGAACTGTAGTAGCGAGTTTGCCAGTCGTGGTGAGGGTTGTTTTAGGAGCTTCTCTGCTTATCCACTTTTGAATCCATTCTGTGATAGAGGATTTTGTGTTTGTTTTTGTTTTCTTAAGAATGGGTTCAAGGACCTATTAGGTCTTGCAGATCCCCGGCCAGTGTATCTGTTTTTTCGTTACCCCAAATTCCTTTCTGTTCTGGTATTATCAGGTGATAAACAGAATACTTCATTAACTAGTACTTTAAGGAGTTCTTCCTTTTTTTACGAGAATTTGATTTCTTCTTGAAGATGGGAAAAAGTAGACGCAGCTTTGACAGAAGATTTAAGTTGGATCGAGAGCTTGGTGTAGAAATTTTGAAAAAGGATCGGAACATCGTCAAAAAGAATGGTAATGCCGTACATAGTGAGGTTAGTGGGTAGTTAGGACCTTCGACAATTGGTTTGAGGACTTTTGAAAAGAAAGATAGATGCGCTTAATATGCTTTTCCGGAACCCCCACCGTCCCACTCCGTCCAAACTTCGAAATGTTTTATATACAATTAGATGATTTTTTACAGTCTTTTTTTTTATAATTTGTAGTACATTACAACTACTTTAAAGAAGGTAATAAGTAACAGTGAGCAAGGTAATTAAAACAAAACAAAATTAAAACCAAGAGTGGAGAAAACACCCATTGGTATTACTTCAATGTTACAATAATATTGTTTGTTCAATTGATACGTGTGTCATTATCACTTTCACTGTCATCACCATCACTTCCTAGGAGATCTCGCGGCCATTGTCTCTTCAATCGGCGGGGAGGGTTTGAGGGGATTCGTCGGGATGCGAGGTTTCTGATGTGTTGGTTTACGTTAGTTGGGAGGTTTTTACGAAATTTACGGTAACGGAAACGTATTTCATCTTGTACGAAAGGAATATGTAAATCTGTATGTGTAGTTTGGTTCGATACATAAAATGGAGCATCTAGTATTTTTCGTAGTATTATAGACTGGGCAGTTTGAATGCGGTGGATATTGGAATGTTTGGCTGACTTCCAGTCCGTAAGTCCAAATCGGCTTAACTATGGTGTTGTAAAGCAGCCTTTTATTTTTGAGAGGTAAATTAGAGCGTTTGCCAAGAAGTCGTGCAAGAACTCTAAATCGTGTCATAACCTCATGACGTTTCAGTCTTGTGTGAGGATTCCACGTCAGACGTTTGTTGATGTACAATCCGAGGTACCGCACCTTGTCCGCAGTTGGGAGGGGAGTATTGTTTAAGAAAACGGGGGGGGGAGATCTTTTTACGAAGAGTGAAGGTAATGTGGGTGGATTTTTCTGTGTTAAATTTTATCCTTTTCTTTTTACACCAAGACTCTAGTTGTATGATGTGTTGTTGGAGTTTTCGAGTGGAAATGACAAGATCGGAGAGAATTGCCGTATCATCTGCATATGTGAATGTGGTGGTTTCGGGATGAGATGGCATGTCAGCTGTGAAAACCTGGTACAGTGTAGGGGCCAGAACGCTACCCTGAGGAACACCAGCATGGATAGGAAAATATGAAGAGGGGGAATGGCCTTCTATGACTTGGAAGAATCGGTCAGTGAGGTAACTGTGCAATACGAGATAGTAGGTGGATGGAAGGATGCCCTTGAGCATGAACAGCAGATCCGGATGCCAAACTCGATCAAAAGCTTGGCTTACGTCAAGAAACGCTCCGGAACAGTACTGTCCCATCTCAAGGGAGGATGAAATAATGTCTACCACGCGGTGACACTGCTGGACAGTTGAGTGGCGGTTGCGAAAACCAAATTGATGGTCTGGGATTATGTTTTGAGAATTTAGAATCGGAAGAATTCTTTTCAGTAGGAGTTTTTCTAAAATTTTACCCAAAGTAGGTAGTAGACTTATTGGCCTATATGAAGTAGTACAATGTGTTGGCTTTTTTTTGGCTTAGGGAACATTCGAATATACGAGTGCTTCCAAGCTATAGGGAAGTAGGTTGTACGAAGTACAGAACTAAATAGGTATGTAATGAATATGATAGCCTTTTTGGGAAGGTGTTGGAGAATTTTTGGAGTAATAAGATCAAAACCTGGAGCTTTCTTGTAGTTGTCTTCCGTTAGTATTTTTTAAGTCATCTGTGGGAATTTTACGATATCATATACGCTGAACGGGTTTCGGGGAAAAGGCCAACAAAGAAACTGTTTTTTTTAAGATTTTCTTTGTTGGCTTCCTCACCGATACTCCTACAACATATCTAGATATAGACCTGAGTAAATGACTTGAGTGGAAGTCTCCTTGTTGTTGATGTATATTTATTGCAAGATAATTTTCATGAATTTTTTTTGAAGAAATTACACTAGGTCTTAAAACAAACCAAAGAAAAATTCAAAGTGAAAATGAAACGAAACACACAATTAAGTTGAATTTTTGTTTTTGTGCTTTTGTATTAAGTTACAGTTGGGTTTTACAAATGGTGCATTGTTGTTCCTTTTTTGTTGTCTGATTTTAGTGTAGATATTTTGTCCAATTTTTCTGCTTTGGCTGGTCGCTACGTTCATTATCTCTTTTTTTCCATTCTTCTTTCTTTATGTTCTATGAAGTTAAAGTTGGGAAATAAATTTTGCCCAGGACAAAATGTTGAATTATTAGATTAAGCCCCTTTTTTACACCATCACCACTTTTTTCCATTTAGCATAAAATTTCTGCATTTTGGTTCGACGTAATTAAAGAAAAAGGGGATACCACTAGTTAGTTTACTCAACAAAGAATTTGTTATGAAATTTTCTAACCTCTATCAAAAATTTTTCCAACGAAGTTGAAAATTTAACTTTTCTTGAAAGATTTAGTGTTTTTTTTTAAGAAAAATTAAATTGCAAGTTCTAAAAGGGCAAAAATATAAACACTATTTCTATATTTAAAAGGAGTATCAATCAACTAAAACAAAAATGTCTGAAGTAAAAAATGAAACCTTTTCACATGATCTGGAAATTTGACAGTCGGTTTGATCGCGAAACTTTGTTAATGTAAACAATTATACGACAAACAAAATATTGTCGGATAATATAACAAGATGTAACAATTTTTATTTGTATTTTTAATAATAAACAACAAATATATTTACTTTTGTTTGTTTTTAATTTTGTTTTTGTTTTTAAATAAACGTATTGTATTGTTTTTATATCAATATTGTTGGTAAAAATTTCACACATATTTTTCACAAAAGAGAATTGTAGATGACAAACATACACGAAAATAATGTAATCAAAGCATTTACAATATTTTTTAAATAGTTCAAAAATATGTGAAAAGTGTCTATATGAAAATCTGCTTTGCTCAAGTGCTCATTATTATCATAAATCAACCAGGTACCCCTACTTAAATTAACCAGTGGTTGGTGTATGAAAATATGCTTTGGTCCAGCCTGTCCGTCTGTTAATTATTTTCATTTTTTAGTTTTAGTTAAATACGTTTCATAGTGATTTTTTGTCAAATTATTAATTAGTTGGGTTGTTACCTGGCTTTTCATTGGGTCCGTGTTGACCTGACACATGTATGTGCCTCTGTCTTCTCTTCGGACGCCTCGCATGTTCAGTGTCCACGTGTTGTCGTCGTTGTGCGTGACGGAGAGCCTCTGGTTGTTCGTTATGACGTGCTCGTGTATAGCGAGAATCGCTTTTGTGTCCGCTTTTATCCAAGCTACCTGTAGCACAAAGATCTCAACAGGTTAAATGAGAGTAGGGCACGGTTTTTCTTGACCAGGCGATTACTGGCTAAGTTGCAACATGCTCAAACTTTACCTGTATCTCAGCTGAAAAGAGAATCTCCGATGGATAAAGACTAACTATAAGTTACCTGTTTTTGATGGTTGTACATTTTTATAACGTGTGGCATTTATCAAAAGATCATCCTCGAGCCAAATGAAGGATTGAGTTTCTAGGAAGTAAAAAGAAAAAGAGGCGTGGAAACGAATTAGTTAATGTTTCTTAGAGGATGAAATGTCAGTGTCAGTTGTGTAATTAAAATAAGTGGACGGGGTGACAGGTGAACGGGGCTGTGGCACAATGCGAGAAGAATGTCTTGTAACGGGATGAAAGTTGGATTTTTTCTAGAAGTGGATCGCCTCATCTTAGTAATGGAGTGAGGGAGGAGGAAAACGGAATCCGACTGGGGTGGGCGCAGGGAGTTGGATGGGGCCGTTCGGTCCCGCTTAGCCATGGGAGCTGTTAGAAAGATTGCCAACGACAATTATTGTACGCCTGCCTAAACACCCTTTAAAGAAATGGCACCACAATTGCATAAAAAGATGTACAAAAAAGAAAGAAGAGTCGGGCGGGGAGACAAAAAAGGGCCATTCTTTTAACAATGTGTCTCTATTTTGCCTTTTAACTTTTAATCCGCTACCTTCAGTATTTGAATTTTTTCAACAGTTAGCTCACTCATAAAAAGGTTGTCATCAACATTTTAAAAGTTTATAAACTAAAGTTAAAGTATACAAATAAAACTGTTACGTTTTTTCTGAGCAAATGTACTATTTCAAGTCTACATGAAAATTCTAAAAGTCGAAAAAAAGTCTAATGTGCAAAGGTTACTATGGGTAATAATTTTCCCAAAAGATAGTTCTTACTCACAATTTAGATAATCATACTGTGTGTAAGAACTATCCTTTGAAAAGAAGTACAAGTTGAGAACTGTGGAATGTGACATCTATGTCGTTTTTTTAAAACAAACTATGGGAAAGAGAAATCATGACATCTTTTGAACCTTTCGTTTTATAAACTATGGCAGCCCTGCTAAATCTACTTTTTTAGCAATAAATACCCAAGAATTATGGCATCTCTTGTTCTCTATTTTTAATGCAATATGGAATAGGTGACCTGATGTGGCATCTCGTTTTCTATTATTTGAACGTACAGTATGAGAAATGCGGAATGTGTCATTTATTCTTTTTAAAGTTTTTTCAAACTACAATTTCGGAAAGGAAGATTCCATAAACTACGGCATCTGTTCTATATATCTTTGTAAGGGAATAAAAACATGAATTTTAAAAAATTTTAAAATCTATTTTTGAATACAATATGGTATTGATGATCTGTGATGTGATGACATAGCATCTGTTGCTCTATTTGTTAATAGAATGTAGTATCAATGATCTGTGATGTGATGTCATGGCATCTCTTGTATTCTATTATTTAATGCAATGTGGCATCGATGATCTATGATGTGATGACATGGCATCTCTTATACTCTATTTTTTAATGCAATGTGGTATAGATGATCTGTGATGTGATGACATAGCATCTCTTGCTCTATTTGTTAATAGAATGTAGTATCAATGATCTGTGATGTGATGACATGGCATTTCTTGTAACTATTTTTTAATGCAATGTGGTATAGATGATCTGTGATGTGATGGCATGGCATCTCTTGTTCTCTATTTTTAATACAATATGGCATCGATGATCTGTGATGTGATGACATGGCATCTCTTGTACTCTATTTTTTAATGCAATGTGGTGTAGACGATCTGTGATGTGATGACATGGCATCTCTTTTACTCTATTTTTTAATGTAATGTGGTGTAGATGATCTGTGATGTGATGACATGGCATCTCTTGTTCTCTATTTTTAATACAATATGGTATCCATGATCTGTGATGTGATGACATGGCATTTCTTGTACTCATTATTTAATGCAATGTGGTATAGATGATCTGTGATGTGATGACATGGCATCTCTTGTTCTCTATTTTTAATACAATATGGTATCCATGATCTGTGATGTGATGACATGGCATCTCTTGTACTCTATTTTTTAATGCAATGTGGTATAGATGATGTGTGATGTGTTGACATGGCATCTCTTGTTCTCTATTTTTAATACAATATGGCATCGATGATCTGTGATGTGATGACATGGCATCTCTTGTACTCTATTTTTAATGCAATGTGGTATAGATGATCTGTGATGTGATGACATGGCATCTCGGGTACTCTATTTTTTAATAGAATGTAGTATCGATGGCATCTCTTGTACTCCAGTTTTGAACGTCTTCTCTGCTTCACGGAAAAAGAACAAAAACACACAAACATCAGGGATATACGTAAGTTCGGCCTGTGATTCGTAAAATTTTCTATATACCTATGTAATGAAAAGCCACCGTGATCGAACCTGAATTTGAAAAAAAAAATTACTGCGGGCTTACTATCTGGAATTTTTATGCTATATCCAGACATAAAACATTAATTTTTGAATTTAAGGTAGACAGTATTGTTCATCGAGGGCCCTCTCTTTCTTGACTCTTCTTTTACTTTCTTTCGCCCGTTTTAATCCGACTAATTAATTTTCAAGTTTCTCCAGTCAGTAATAATCAGCCCAATTAGGTCGGTAAGGAACACTCTCTTTTATTTATCCTAATAAAATAATCCTCTTTGTACATCAGGATCTTGTCAATTGTGGATAAAATAACACAAAATACAAATACACATAAAAGAGAAACAAAATAAAACATGAGTCTAGTTAGTATTCAAAATATCCCAGTCTACTCCATAAATAAATGGGGATACGCTCCTATATTCGCACAAATAAATTGCATTCACATCATTTTATTTTTTCTGCACAAATAAAACCGTATACTTTATTTATATTTAAATTAATTATTTTTAAAATGCAATATGGAAAAAGTGATTTGTGGCAATTTGTGTATTTTGTTTTGGAAGACTAATATCATAAGCGTCGACTGTGACATCTAAGTTTTTTCTCTCCGAAATTGTTACATTTCTTGTACCTATTTTTGTAGTAACTTTTTTCGTAAAGTGTGAGGAAGCAAATTGTGTCATCTCCTATACTTGGTTCTAAAGTTCTAAAGTAAATATATTTTTATTTATTTATTTATATTGTCCATAATTACTTGTGTGTGTCTGTGTGCGCGTACGTTCGTTTTGTGATTGTGTTGGATCATAAATTTGTGTATGCAAATTGAGAATACTCATTCCACTTTCTCAATTCATATAAATTTTTACGAGCCCTGACTGACAACCGACAGGGCTTTTAAAAACGAGCTTATGTTGGAGAGATAAATAAAATAAGATTGAAATTTTCACGAGCATGAAATCCAACCTTATCATTTAATACCATCCCCAGAAAACCACGCCATAAGATAGTAGGTTTATCAAAAGTTTCATATTATTTTTAGGGAAGAGGTAAATCGGCGTTATAATTTCTCAATACTAGTGCAAACGTCTCATTACGTCCTTTGGGTTTTGTTAAGCTCACTGAATTATATGTACAAGTAAAAGAGGGTCGTAATGAATGTTTGAGTAAAATCATAACAGTGTTTCCAGTACTTTTCACGAGCAATTGACTACATCTGAAAAACATCAACCATGCGTTTACTAATTGTCGACCGGCTTTCTGGGAAATATGGCTGAAAGAAAATACTTGTGTGTAAAGTCGAGTAAACCCACTCAGGGTTTAAGTGACAGGGGGGCAGGGTTCATTTATTTCGGATTGAATTCCCAGGGTTAGAAAGCGCCCCAGGAAACCTCACAGGTCTTTTCCCTCTCACAGAGGACATCGATCTTCGGAGCTTTTCAAACTCGCCTCGTTAGCTCAATTTTCAATGGCTTCTAATCCTACGAACGAATGCCGTTCGATGTCCTTAATCTGGTCGCGACAATGCAAATAGTTTTGTTTTCTGATCGCTTATCTAAAAAACCGTCCTTGACCTTCCATAAATTCACGCATTACAAAATTGTGTTCAATATCGCACATTACTTACAATAATACTAAAAGAAATATATATTAATTTCGGCTTGAAAATTTACTAGTTGTATTTAATCTGGTTTATAGATTTTCAATTTATAATTTCTATGTTTACTTCTTAAACATGTGTATCAAGTTTCTGATGTTTAGTCCTGAACAAAGGATTGAATGTTTTTCTTTAGATTTTTTTCTCCTGATCGTTCTTTAATTAATGATACTAATTTAAGCATAAACATTTGTTACTTTTTGGGCTTTAAAATTTTTTAAAGTTTATTTGAGTTGAAACCAGTTTAATAGGAAAGAGTGTCAATGTATATTTTATTAATTATTCAGAAATCGTGAGATGCGTTCTGGTGTGATACAGGTTTCATAAAAACATTTTCTTTATCGTGCCGACGTTTCGATCTTTATTGAGATCATCTTCAGGGCCTGGGATTGAATATAAAAAATATATTACAATTAATTAAGGTTTTTAGTTGAGATGAAAAAAGTTAATGGCACGAGCGGGATTCGAACCCACGATCTTCGGCTGCTCTACCATTTGAGCTATCGTAATCCCTCGATCCATTAACTTTTCTTCATCTCAACTAAAAACCTTAATTAATTGTAATGTATTAATTGGTCAAGCGGACCACGAAAGTAGTGAATTAAATGATTAAAATGAAGTACACTTCACTAAAGCTCTCCGTCGCCATTTCATTTGTCGCCGAGAATCAAATTGATTACACGACATTTGAAAAATGGCAAAAAGGAGGGAAAACTCATGAGGTGGGTTTGAGTTGGGAAGTTGGTGTCCGAGTGGATCGAGGTCGCGATAGCTCAAGTGGTAGAGCAGCTGCGTATCTAGCCGAAGATCGTGGGTTCGAATCCCGCTCGTGCCATTAACCTTTTTTCATCTCAACTGAAAACCTTAATTAATTGTTATCTTTGTTGTTGCA